CAGTGACAAGAGTGAACCATACCTGCTTAATAGGAACTCAACTTATTTATAAAGTTAACCCTTGCAAGGGTTAACGGCTAATTTCTCTCTAGGGGCCAGAAGATATACTCACCTGATCCTTGAAAGGAGAACTATGGGGTTAAGGCTTTTCCCCATAGTTCTCCTTAGGGTAACGGGAGGACACAAACTAGCGCCCTCCCGTCACCCTAGGCTCAGTATACCGCAAGCTGCTTATTATGCCTGGATCCGCCCAGCTGCGTGACTGACAGCTGGCTCTGCCTATCTAGAGGCAGAGCCAGCTGTATCTGCCCCCTCCCCCGTCCGTTCCACCAGTCAGCGCTGGCGGATCGGAGCGGGGAATCTAGCCCCTCCCCTGTCACGGCAGAGGGCCCTGACAGGATCGAGAAGTGAGCGAACACCGGTATGTGTTCGCTCACCTCCCGATCTACTGAGCCGACCTGTGACAGTCTCATTGTCACAGGTCGGCTAGAACTATGAGGTGAGTGAAAAGCACTCACCTCATAGTTCTCCTTTAAGTCCTGCAGTAGTCAGCGATCACCTCTCCCCTTCCGCTCCAGCTGTGGTATGTCCCTCAGTGTCCTCATGACTAATGCAGGTGAATGGATTGCATTAGACATGATGACATCAGCAGGGCTTAGACCGCGGGAGCCCAGGAAAAAGAGGCTGTGTGGACCGGTCTAGCAGCCAGGCAGGATTGAGGATCCGCTGAGTATATTTCTTTTATTTGAGCCCCAAGACCAAAACAAGCAGTTAACCTTTGCAGTGTGGGGGTAGCCTCATTGCAAGGGTTAGCCTTTTAGATTCCTGGAGTTCTTCTTTAATGTGTGTTAGCATGGCCACTAGTAGTCTTCAATGGAAGCCCACGTGACAACTCAGGAGCACAACTGGGAAACAGGGACAGGAGGACTGTCAACAAAAGACTGGAAGTGCCTGAACCAGAATCACCAGGTAATATTTTAATAAAAGCAGAGTTTTATGAATTTACTTTAACTAGGTATACTTTACATTTTAAAGAAGTAGTAAATGTTTACAAAAAGAGATTTATTCCAAAAGTAAAATAAAAACAAAAAAATTGTACTTAACATATTTAGCTACAATAAGGAACTAACAGGCCATAACATTTGTGGAAATAGTGGGGAAATTTACGGCATTACCCTTTGACAAGCTTAATACACAATACTTTAGGTAAAGTATTATGTTAATTACAGGTTTGCTAAGCTAAGCACACCACTGCATCACACACTGCATCACACACTGCATCACACACTGCATCACACACTGCATCACACACTGCATCACACACTGCATCACACACTGCATATTAAAACATGTGATTAAGTGTCAGTTGTTCTACATTATAGCTTAAGGTCCTAAACACCTACAGGAAAAATGACACCACCCACAAACACTTATTAAGAACAGCTCAGCAACTGCCCCTTGTAGGCATTTATGCACCTGTTAGTAGGAAGCTGCTAGAGCTATATAAAAAATATAAAAAAAACAATCATACTACCTGTAGATACTGCATAAAACATTATGTTTCTTTTTATATAAATCGAGCAAAAACGCAAGAAAAATACATAACATGACACATCCCTAGATGCATTCCTCAATACTCTATGTATTTGTAACCTCCTTACGGTCAAAAGTCTGATTACCAGCTTCACAGTAGTTGTGCTGGCATAGTATTTTTTTAAATAATGCTTCAACAGTTATATGCAAAATAACAGTACATATTCAGTTACAGAAGCACCCATGGGCCAAGGGCAATTGCTTAAAATTGAAATAAGGTATCCACTGCTATTTGCAAAGTCAAACTACCTGCAGATAGGAGCAAAATGTTGCTGCATTAATAATGTGGATGGAATATATTTTTGTTAATATAAACTGCTCCAACATGTCATCTATATTGGCTCCTGTGCGTTTATCAAGGTTTAAGAAAAAAAATGAATAAATAATGTGGCTCTAAACATGACTAGCTTGAATCAGCAACACTTGAAGAAACCTGGCAGAAAGAAAAAGTGGTGCTACCGTATGACAATGAGAATCCAGCTGCAATTTGCAAAGAGCAGATTATTCATTGAAAGCCAACACCAGTATTTTTCCTTTGCTCAAGGTTTTAGTAATGAGACCCATAATCTTACCCAAGATCATGGCTTATATATTTAACATTAAAAAAGACTGTCCTTAAATTAACGTGTTAGAAAAGAACAGCTCCATCACACATTTAGGGCTTGTTCACACCATGTCCGGACCAGAAAGTTTGTCTGCACCTGAAATTCATCCCAATGTATTCATATGGTATTTCCGAGCTCTTTTCACACCACAGGGGGGGAATGCTGCATGCACTATTTTCTTTGGTCTGGAATGCATCAAAATGCATGTAAACGTATTTTTTATTTTTAAATCACATTCAACATGCACTGGAACGCACTGCACCACACCTGAAAGCCCATTTTAAGCTAAAAACAACATTGCACCGCAATGCATCTAAAAACACAAAATATATATTTTTTTAAAAACACACACTGCAGCACATTTGCAGATCCGATTCAGATCTGGTCCGGACATGGCGGGAACAAGCTCTTTATCTGGAATAATAGGTCATAGATACATAGATTGCTGTCCAGGCACAGTGAGTGAACCTGTGTTTACTTAAAACACCCGATCAAGATAGGAAGTTTCTATTTTTATCTGATTGGGCGTTTCAAACTTACAAAAGGTTACAGAACTGCCCTATAGATGTTAGTAAGTTACAGCCTATAGTTATTGCAAACTGAATTTGACAGCCATCAACTAACTTTTTCAATATGATTTCAGTTTGAAAATGCCTATACGTTCACAGGTAAGTCACTTTAGATAAACATAAGTATGAATCATACAACTCCTACATCTAGAATCACACAAGAGCTTTTGAAGGCTGTGCAAATTTACTGCCTCTGGGAACTTCCCATTTTCTCCCACGGAGCTGGCAATCATCAGCTCAGTTAGGAGTTTGTGCTCCAGTTCTGCAATTTAAAGATTTCCCGGCATCAATGGCTCTTGCATGACCCTGCACTAACTTTCAACAGCCTGCACCCATAACCCCCTACAGATGCCAGATGCCTGAAACAACTACAGAAAACAGACCTATTATGAAACATTAAGTGTTGTTTAGAGGACAGGCAACTTTTTTGAAGAATAAAAAAAAACAACATTCTTCTTAAATTGATCCACTGGAGACAGAATTGTGCCATAGTTGATTTGGTTTTAAAAAGGTGCAGGCTCAGGGTATGCCATCCTAATAACCTACTGAGTCAATGACCTAGAGCAAGTGTACTGCACAGAGGTTCAGACTTTTTCAGACCTCACTGGCTGCATTCTTGAACTAAGCTTGTGACTTGCTAGGTAGTAAAGCCAAGAACAGAATGGCAGGCCAAATGTCTGCACATTTAAAGAACTCCAGCCATGTAAAAAAAAAAAAAAAAAAAAAAATCATCACTGCAAGGGTTAGGAGCTGGTTTTGGTCTAGGGTGTAAAATACAGATACTTTGTCCCTCCTGGCTGCTAGACTGGACCGATTCCTGCAGCCTCTTCTCCCCCATTCTTAGTCAGTCCAAGAATCTATGACGTCATTATGTCCATTGACTTGCACTGGACGCGAGGACGCCAAGGGACATTCCACAGCCAGAGCAGAGGTGGAAGAGAGGTGAGCAGTTATCACCGCAGGCCTGAGGTTCAGGTATCTTCTTTTAGACCCTAGAACAAAATGAGCACTAAATCCTTGCAGTGCGGGGGTACTGCTCTTCTAGAGATAAAAGTAGTGTTGCCACCCTAGGACAGGAAGTGGGTTACTGGCAGGATCACCAGGTAGAAATACAGGGGGGTGGGGGGGATTCATGCAGCCACCACAAGCAAGAACCCGTCAGCTATGATACATTATATAGTTGTTCTTGACTTAGATATGTTCTAAAGTTGAACTCCAGAAAGAAAAAAAAAACCCATAAAACTCACTTTGCAGCAGAGTGGAGTGGGTCTGCCCCCCAGCACTGCAAGGGTTAAAGTGACACTAAACTCGGGAGTTAAAATCTTAAAAATGCATTCAAGTACGCAAACTATTAAACAAAAATGTATCTTATTTGTGTATCACTCAGCTGTAGATCCTCAAATCATCTCCGAATTCATACCGACACTGTCCTTCCTTCTGGAGGGTGGCTACTTTTGTTCCTCATGATTCCTGTGTGTTGTAAAGTTGTCACCAGTCCAAGCTCCCTGCTGTGATGGACTACAATCTCAATACAAATTAATAAAGTGAATATGAGATTGAAGTCCATCACAGGAGTGAGCTTGGAGCGGTAAGTACTTTACAACACACACAGGGACCATGGGGAACAAAAGTAGCCACCCTCCAGCAGGAAGGACAGTGTCGGTATGAATTCGGAGATGATTTGAGGATCTACAGCTGAGTGATACACAAATAAGATTATTTGTGTTAATAGTTAAGGTACTTGAACTCCTGAGTTTAGTGTCGCTTTAGCAGAAGTGTTGTAGTTTCCCCAGAGGCAGGCTTATGCAGTAAGGTGGTTTTCATGGCAGACTACATTTCAGAGGGATAGCTAAAAGTGAAGTAAATCATCAGAATGAATATAAAAGTTATCATCCTGCAGAGAACCCATTTTAGTTCACACTTATGACTTCCTGTGATGGGACACAGAAGAACAATACGTCACCCTTTGCAACAATACGATTTCCTCAGGTCTAAAGTTCTGCTCTTATCGGGGAAACTTTCATCTACAGCTACACCGCGTTTTCCTTCTCATACTGCAGTGTTTCCACTTGTTTAAGTTACCTCCAAGTCACTACCCAGGCCTACGAATGTAACAAGTGACAGTCCGGATGACAGAAGTGAAGTAACAACCTGCAGAATTATGAAGAGGGGGGGAGTGGTGCATGCATTTGTCTGACCTGCGCCCCATACAAGTGCTGCTGATGTGACTCACCGTTTGGTCCATACTTGTCTCTGCTCCTCCGGACCTGCTCGCTGCTCAGCCCGCAGTTCTCATTCACCTCGAAGTGTCGGAGCACCTCGGACACCGGCTTGGCGTGCGCGCTATCCATGGTGGGCTTACCACAAGCCCGCTTCACCCGGGCTACACAGGGACGATGTGGAGGGACGACAGCCGCGCGTGTATGTGTGGAGAGTTCCCGTTGCACCTTGTCTGCCTCTAGTGTAAGGTGAGCTCTCGTTAGGGATCCGCCTTCTATCTACACTGACTCGTCCAGCTCTCCCCTCCTCCTCATGCCTGTACCGGAGACAAATGCTGTCAGCCTTCACAAGTTTTTTTTTTTCCTCACAGGAAGCTCATGGACTCCGTCACCGCGCACACACACACAGTGCCTAGCTCACTGTCTGCTACTTCAAGAGCCTCCGCTAAACGTCTCTTTATTATCCTGCATTACCTGCAGCCTCCTCATTGGCTGGCCGCGGCACCCAAATTGTGCCCGCCCACACAAACCTTCCCTCGCCTCTACCCCATTGGCCCGTGACTAGGTGAAATTAGCATGTTCAACATTTCGCCTCCGGTATTAATTCTGTGGAAAATCTTTTTAGAGCATGTATAGATATGAACAACCAACTCCCCCCTCACCCGTCCTCCTCCTCCTCCCGCTTCTGAGCTTCACTTCCTCTTATTCTACTGCAGCTGAGAACTTTCAGCTCAATGCAAAACCCAGTGAGGTGCAGCGAGGAAGGGGTTAACTGGTGAAACCGCTGACTGGGGAGATAAGACACTGACAGTTGTGCTGTTATGGAAAGTATTTGGCAGTAGTTGTACACATTTACATCTGGGGAGGCGACACTGGGCTTTTACTTGTTTCGAACATGAACAATTCGTATTGTTCATAGGGCTTATGCACATGGGCGCCAAGACAAGCGTACTGGCATACGGCGTTAAATACGCCCCGGGAGCCCCAACTGCTGCGTTTTTCTGTCCATAAAGTGTACGATGTGCATAATCACTGGAACCAGCGTTTGCATCCAAATAGGCAGAGGTTCGCTAATGCCGAATGAATGCACATGGCATTTTATTTATTACAGAGGCGACAATTTACACAGCACTTCACATACTGATCATTCTCATAGGCCCCCAAGGGTGTATCTGCCCCAAGGCAAACAGGGCGTTTGCCCATGGGGCCTCCAAACCAGAGAGGCAGTGCCTCACCTGCCATTACCAGTATCGGTGACAATACCGATATCAATGCTGATACTGGCACTTTAAATTTTTAAACACAAGCGGCTGCTATAAGGTCCCCCACTTGCTGGGGACCTCACAGTGCGGCTTACAGGACTGGCCGCCCATGTACTCCTCCTTCCTGTAGATACCCACTGCCTGCCTCGGGACCCTTGGTGAGACACCGCACGGCCCTCCTAACACCCTGCACAGTCCACCTAAGTGCCTGCACAGCCCACCATAGACCCCGCACAGCCCACCTAACACTCTGCACAGCCCTCCGGATACCCTGCACAGCCCAACTTAGACCCTGCGTAGCCCACCTAACACCCCACACAGCCCTCCAAAGACCCTGCACAGGCCACATAAGAGCCTGCACAGCCTTCCTAACACACTGCACAGCAATGGTGAGACGATGCACAGCCCACCTGAAAGCCTGCACAGCCCACCTGAGAGCCTGCACAGCCCACCTGAGAGCCTGCACAGCCCACCTAAGAGCCCGCACAGCCCACCTGAGACGGCACACATCTTCCTGAGAGCCCACACAGCCCACCTGAGACCCTGGACATTAGCAGCACACCAAAGCAATAGTTACAGCAGTTAAGTGTTCATTTATTGAATAATGCTGTCCCTCATATGCAAGTGTTTTCAGGTCCCACGCAGGGTCCCCTTCATCAGGCACAGAGATGAAGATGAAGGGGGCCCTGCGTGGCCCCAAAAGCGCTTGCACATGAGGGACAGCATTATTCAATAAATGAACACTTAACTTCTGTAACTATTGCTTTGGTGTGCTGGTGACTTTCTTCAACTATCTGCCATTCGCAGTCATTTCGAGCACTCGCTGGTATATCCACATGGGAATCCCGGTAAGGTGTGCAGCAAGAATCCTTTTTCCTGGAGACATTAGGTCACCACCCCAGAGCAACACAGACTATGTAGCTTTATATTATTCTACATTGCTGTATAATGTATTGCTGGGATTTTCATTCCTCTATAGCTGGTGGTATTCTGCATTGCTAATAGTGCAACCTGTCAGAAGCTGGATACAGCAAAATGTCTTCAACAGGAAGGGGTGGGGCAACTTTAGATTGGGCTGGGGGGACTGAGTATAGTCTTGCCTAGGGCAGCACAAAACCAAAATAGGAATAATAAGGAAGTTCAGCGCTCTCAGATGTAGAAAAAGGGGGGCTGGAGGTATAGCTGTAATACAAAACCAAAATACACCACTATCAGTCCCTGCCCCGATGAGCTTACAATCTAAGGTCCCTATCCCACTTGTACACATACATATGGACAGAAAAATGTAGCAGCTGAGGCTCTCTGGCCTACAAGTCACTATGCCTGTGTTTGCACCCATGTGCATGAGCCCTAAGGCTCTGTTCACACCTTTGTCCCTCAAAGCAAAGTGCGACAAAACGCTCAAGACAAGGAATCACATTCAATTTCTATGGCCCCTATTCACACCTGAGCATTTTGTTGCACAAAGTTTGCAATTGAAGTCTATAGGACAAAAAAGTACTGTGACCTGCTAAAAAGTAGCTCATGTGCTTTTTCCAGCTTTTCGCCCAAAACGCTCAGGTGTGACCAGGGGCTATAGAAACAAATGGGATTCCTTGTCTTCAGCGTTTTGCCATGCTCCAGGGACTAAGAGATAGCCGGCTGTGCTGTTCAGGTGAGTATAAGCCCCAGATTTAGGGGAGCGGGGTGGCTCACAGAGATGCTGAAAAAAAAATTTGGCACATCAGTACTGTTTATACACAGAAAGTTTGGGGATTAAGTAGTATGCTTTATTGGTTAACATACATTTTCAAAGATGCAAGATTTTCGGACAACGTAGATTTCTTCCTTAGGCTTTATGAAATGTGTAAACCCTAAAGAGGGGGGGGTAATAAGAGAAGGTCTTATAACTTAACGTGCAAATGACACCAAACGTATGTTGTTTTTTATATACCGTGTTTCCCCGAAAGTAAGACCTACCCCGAAAGTAAGACCTAGCGCTATCTTCAGATTTCAACTCCCAGAGAGGAGTGTGGTAGTTGAGGAGGAAGTAATGAACTGTGGTTGTGAGCGAGACCTGCTGTATTGCTGTGCTGACAGGAAGGGATTCCCCCAAATTTGGGACTTTTTCCAACAAGTCGGTGAGACACATTTATGTTTTTTGTGCAGAACATTTGGACTGTTACTTTGAGTTTGCTGAAGATAAGCGCGTATTTTGTGTTTACTGTTTTTTTCTGCCCAGCAAGAGGGAAATAAAAGCTTTTGTTTATTCAAAACCCTCTGTGCGAGTGCTCTGTGAGCTCCCCAACATCAATATATATTGTTTTGGATAGGGTGGAGAGAGAATACAATAATACATGTCAGGTTTTTATTGCTGCCTGTGTCCCCATTAGAGAGATTCACCCTCTTGATTTGTCCTGGTGACGGTTATCACAAAGTTAAAGAACATCACAAATTTTGTCAACAGAACGGTAACAGATGGAAAATCTTCCAATGGGCACATTAGGCCTGCTGATCAACAGGGATTTCTTTTCATTTCCTGTTGTGGCTATCAGACAGGAATTGATAGGAAATCTCACTAATGAGACACACATGGCAGAAAAAGCTGACAGGGTTGGGTGCCCATACACTGTGCGATTATCGCACGATAATTGCGGGAAATCCTGCGATCGTACGATAATCGCAAAGTGTATGGAAGGCGTGTGACCGTTTTTACTGTATGGTCGCATGTCTTTTGTCTAAGGAGCCTGTTCGAAAACCAGCCGAAAATCTTACGATTTTAGGCTGGTTTGTGGCATGCTCGGGAGACAAATGCCGAACGCGCACACTGCCAATTCAGCATTGCGGTCAGCACTAAGGTCTTGCGATGGTTGTAAAGTGTATGGCCACCTTTACTCTGTCCAAATTAAACTCTGGTGACCAAATAACATTATTTCACTAGATTTCCCCTGTATTTCCCTCACTCTGCCTTTTTTATAAAAAATGATTCCTAAAATATGACTTTTTAAGTTCTCCAAACTTACCTCTGTGCACATTTCAACCTCTACATGCAGTTTTGTGCACCAGCGCTCGAGCCGCACTTTCAAGCTCCCACATGTGACTTGCCCATTAATAAAATTGTTCCCAATGAACATTGGTCCACACTAGGGATGCACCGAAACATATCGGCCGAAAATGGCACTTTTGGCACTTTCAGCCTCCTGTGACAGCGTGTCAGAGAGAAGAGCAAGGTACACACACTCAGTGATCGCTGAGTGTGTGTGTACATAATTGAGTATATGGTATGTTAACTATATCCTCAATTATGAATGAATGGGAGTGATCTACGTCACCCCCATTCATTCATAATTGTAGTTATAGTAAACAAACAATGTACTCATGTTATCAATGAACAGGAACACTCAGGGGACACAGAAAAAGAGATTGAGGACTCTGTTCTCTCCAATCTCTTTTTCTATTTTAAAAGGGAAATATCAGGGGTCTGTTTAGACCCCTAATATTTCCCCAAAGCCCCTAAAAAGTAAAGTAAAAAAATATTTAATAAAAAATGAATGAATACAAATATTCAAAAATGAAAGTTTATATAAAAATTAAATATTTTTAAAAAATTAAAATAGAAAACATTTTCGGTTTCGGCCTGACATTTTTTTTATTTCGGTTTCGTTTCGGTTTTAAAATTTCCATTTCGGTGCACCTTTTAGTCCACACCAGTAGTGCACACACATGAACAGTAGGCGTGACACTGTGCATTGACAATCCACCTCTCACTGTTCTCATTGCGTAGGATCAGCAATGGTTGGTGGGTTGGACTGAGAAGGAGGCTATGCTAATTCAGACGTAATGCCTGTGAGGGACACATCAGCTCACTACTTTGTAGTTTTAACCCCTTCGTGACGGGAGACGTACAGTGTACGT